TTATAAATAAAAACAAAATAATTATATTTTCACATATTTTTTAAAAATGCAACATTTTAAACTTGAAATTAATCAGATTTAAAGAATTCTACAAACTACTCAGAGAATATTACTTCTGCGGAGGATCTGACCAGGTATTCCCGATAAACTGAAATTGTTACAATTGGCACCTGATATGAATATGATCATGTGGAGACTAACTTCTATGCTCTCAAAATATTTTGAAATATTTCCTTTTAACAGAATTATTTATGCCTAGACTTAGTGCAGAGGTCACTAAGATTTGATCAAAACTCACACATACAAGAAAAATACTCTTCCTGGAAGAAAATACTCTGAAGACTATTTGTTTGAAAGTGGTTTGTAACCAGCTCAGCTTCCATGCATATATATGACTCTGCTTCTCTAGGAAATTAGACCTGTTTACTGACTGCCTGCCTTTAGAAGAGTTAAAACACCTGAAAGAAAAAGTTTTCTCTTCCTAGTATTTGCTTTAGTGTTGCAGAAGTGATGAAATGTTTAAGGCTGTTTGTAAATGCAATATTTGGTATTGTGACTAGCATAAAAATAAAATAAACTAACACCTAATAAAGGTTCCCAAACCCAGAAGAGAGGCAGATTAGCAGGATTCATTTTGTCTGATCCAACCTTCTAGGGAAAGGATCCCATCTAAGCTGGTTGCCTATGCACCTGTATCAGGAAAGCATGGCAAACATAATTAATCTAAAGGTATAACAGCTTAAACTGACCTAATTTATATTTTTCTTACATCCCAGAAAAATAATCTCTTGTTTTTGATGTTGCTTCTTGGCCGAAAACTTTTCATTGTGTTAGAATCTGCAGAAGGACAAGATGTGGAACTTGCAGAAAATTCACTCTGTATTATCTACAAGAGATGTCCATCTCTGGTCCTTCTATCTAAATTGTTCCCATTCTAAAATGAATGAGACAGTTATAATGGCTCAAATGTCACATAGCAACTTGCTAAAGATACACTAACTGCACAGACTAGAAATGAAGTAAGAAAATAAAATTACAGGACAAAGTATGTATGCATGTGGAATTACAACATATAGAACACCTTTTTTAATTTTAAACTTTTCATATCACCTTCTAGAGTCCTCATGTGTTAAGGTATATATCCTTTCCACTTCCTAATATTTAGTAGTAGTCATCTAATTAACCTTATACATTAGTTTTGATTTCATTCTGTGGTTGCTACTGAGTTTGTAAAGACTCGGCTGTCATCCTAAATCACAAGAACCTGTATTCAGAAAGGTATTTAAGCATGTCTTCAATATTTTATGTCTCTAAAATATATTTCATGTCATAAGCAATAAAACAATTTTCTAGTACATACTTTTCTACAGATATTTTCAAGAGTTGTGTAAATGAGCTGTTAACACTATCATAGAAAATAGCTAGCTTTTGTCTTTATCTAGTAAACCTACTCAATGTGCATACCATACAATACTTGAAATTCAGTGATTTGTACAAGTAAGAAAAATCACAGCCCTGAAATAGCAAACGGTATGGTAAAATAAATAACGGATTTAAATTCTTCAGGAGTAATGTAAACAGAGAGGCTTTTACCAGAGCCTGTTGGAGACTTCCCACTAAGCTTCTTTTCTGTAAGGAATAGTTGTCTCAGCTGTCCTGCAAACTGGGCTGGATTATCCCAGGGGATATAAGACACTTCAGAATCACCTCCAACCATAGATCCAGAGCTTTCCAAGAGATCAGAGTCCCTCAGTCCAGTCAGGCTCAGGCTTTCAAAAGTAAACACTCTGAAGGCTCTTTCTACTTCAGCCCAACTCAGAAGTTCTAGAAAAGAATTATAATCATTAACTGAAAAGTCCTTATGGCTCAGCAGAAGATAAATAGAAGACTATGAAAGTGTATTGTTCTTGGCAACTCTGCAAAATCCAACAACAATTTCCTTAATGGTATTGGATCAAATTATGTGAGCTACATTTTACACTGTGTTCAAAGTTGAATACTTCCAAATTGCAAAATGATACATCTAACTATTCATCTTAAATGGAGTGTTTCCTCCATCTGAATACCTCTTGGCTCATTAACTTCATATAAATGATGTTGATTTTAAAACACTGAGTAGACTTTATCAAACCAGTTAATAACTACTTATTTTTCACTTCATGAAAAGGCTTCCATTATCATAAACTTTATTACCTGTAGCTTCTCAAACAAAGTATCAAATGCTTTTTTTCTCTTCAGACAAAATTTTACATATAATTTATACAGAAGTTTGCAAGGTGCAAAGGCAATATTAAATTCTATTTACGGTTCTATGCATTGGTGTCTGTATAATAATGATAATCATGAGAAGGACTGAATTTTAAGACAGGTAGTTCAGCACTCAAATCATATGAAGAGCATCTTCAGTTTGAAGTGTTTTCTCTTCATGACAATTAAACACCCAAGCACATCACACATCTTGAAAATGTTGGCTATCTCATCTCCTGTTCAAATCAATCACCTTCTTGATAAAAGTGAAGTCACTGTTAGCCAAGCTAACAGAGAGATTTTGGCAGTATAGTATGGTGCAGTGAAGGCCATCAAATTTGATACCAAATAGCTAGAATGTTACAGCAATACAGAATACTTTAATAGCTTAATGTCCAAAATTAACAAACTAACAATTAGAAACAATGCAGTGAGTGTAAATTAATCCAACACAAGGGATTTCAGGACTGAATAGCTGGGAAAGTACCTTCAAATCCTGTGTCTTATATGATGGCATAAACGTAACCAAAGGGATTTGTACGTTTGTATTTCTTAGTAGTCTAGCGTAAACTTTCGAAACTACCTAAGGGTATTTATGTAGTCTTTGGGATTATTTCATGGTGTATGTCATGGTGGTATGCACACTCCAAGAAAAGGTAACTGTAGAAGTCATTATGGTTGAAGAAATGAATGAATTCTAGGTTTGACAAAGGGACTATTATAGAGGCCATTTCATTATTTACACAAACAGCTTACACAGAATACATTCTGAAAGTTATTTATTGTCCAGTAAAAACCTCCTACCTAAGATACATGTGCTCCCGCACAAAAAGGATGTTCGTAAATAAACATATAGCTTATATCAATGTCTCTCAAAATACACTCTATGTCCTAGGATCAAAATAGCAATTTTTACAACTTTTTAAATTTTTTTTCCTTTTTTTTCAGATTTAGTAAGTCGTTTTATGTTTGTGAATCTAAATAAATAAATGAGCTCTATCACATTGGCAGCTCCTAGTCACACAGTGTTTAGTACTCACATAGCCTTGACCATTAACCATGAAACTAAGGTCTAAAGTTAGCCCTAACTTGTATAATAGGCTGAAGTATAAGCAAGAACGTGAAAAGAAAATTCTGCAAAGATTTCAGGCAGCTGAAAAAAACCTGTCCCAAAATTCCTGCTATTTAATAAGATCATCAATCAGACAAAAAAAATGGAAGTTAAATAAATAAAAAAAGAAAATCAGTTTACCACCAGTACAATAATGCATGAGCTCATGAACTCTGGCCAAGCGTTTAGAGTTGCTTTCAGTTGAAGGAAGGGTGAAACGGGTAAGTTCTGTAAGAGGCAGTTTATCCATCATTTCACGTTCAATCTTTTCGAGATTTAAGTTCTCTTGGACCTGGAACAAAAACCAGTGTCAGAGTTAAAGTAAACTTTCACCCCAGTTGATTTCTAGAAACTATGTTTGAACAAAGAAGTCTTTTTATAGCAGAAGACATAAGCATGTGCTTAAGTCAGTTCAACAAAAAACTTAAATATCAGCATGTGCTCACAGTGTGTTATTGAAACTCAGAGTCGGATATTTTAGGCAGAAAAAATGAGACGCATAAGAGAATAACTGATGACATAATAATAGACACTTGTTAGAAGGTAATTACTTGGGCTAGCTACACTCAAAAATGCTGGAACACAGAAATACGTACTGATTCAGATAGGGAACCTTCTACGTATCTTTCAGTTGATCTGTGCTACTGTTCATAGTAATCAAGTCTGTAAACTCGATCAGCCTGTGACTGTTTGGGTAGGCCATGACGTAATTGCTTTTTTTTTCCTGGGTAAATGAAAAGTGATTTTTCATGGGAAACAAAAATTTTATCCAACAATACTTTGTCCATTTTGTTCAATTACTTTTTGCCATCTTTCAGGCCACTTCATGATTCCGTGCTCAAAAAAGTTCTGTCTTTTTCAGCAAAAAAAAAAGTTCCAAGAATGATTTGATAACCTCATCAGCAGTGAGCGTTTTACATTCAAGGCATTTTGTTAAAGAACAAAACAAATGGTAGTCTGGTGGTGCCAGTCTGGTGAATACGGTGGGTGTAGTAGCACATCCTGCCCAAGCTGCAACAAGTTTTGATGAGAGACCAAATTGTACGTGGTCTAGCGTTATCATGGAGAAACAACACCTTTGTGATTCACCAATCCTGGATGCTTTTGTTTGATGGCATAATTTAATTTATTCAGCTGATGACAGTACACATCTGAATTAATGGTTTGGTTCCTTGGAAGCAATGCAAAATACACAATAAATTTGAAATCACACCAGACTGACAGCATAGCCTTCCTTTGGTGAATATCTGCTTTTGAAGTGCTCTCAGCTGGTTTCATCACACACGCTCCATGATCTTTTTCATTCATTGTTGTTGTTGACCCATTTGCCATTGACTATTCTCATACATTTCAAAAATGTATTGTTTTCTTCACATTTCAAGAGACAATCACAGATGTCAACAAGCTTAGTGAGATTAATTTCTTTGAGCTCATATGATACCCAAATATTGAGCTTTTTAACATATCCAAGCTGTTTTAAATGGTTTTCAACATTTGATTTTGATATGTTAAGAGTATCAGCAATCTCTTGTGCTGTTAAATGCCAATTGGATTCAATCAATGTCTTTCTTTTGTTATTATCACCTTTGATTTGCCTTCGTGAGCATGGTGCATCTTTAACATCAAAATTGTTAGACCGAAATTTAACAAACCAATTCTGATACTGCCGTACTTTTAAGACACCTTCACCATACACATTACATTAATTTTCATGAGCTTGCACAGCGGTTTTTCCTTTTTGGAAGTAATATAGCAAAATACTATGAAAATGTTTCTTTTGATTTTTCATTTTGAAATAACTGTTAATGAAATCGTGTACTTTCTTTTTCTAAAACAAGCCTGAAGTGCCAGCTGTCAAGTTACATAATGAATTTGCAGTTTAAGTTAGTTACATTTAAAGACATGTATGTCCACCTATTAAAAACTGCACAATTACTTTTTGGCCAACCCAATAGCACTCCTGTACATTTAAGAATTTATCTTTTGAGACTTACTGATATCTTTCAGCTTCACTTTTTTAGTATTATGCACTTACAGCATCTTTTTCTTGGACCATATCTTCCAAATCTTCCTCTATTAACTCCTCAAACATTGCACTATATCCTGAATTTCCTCTGCAGCAAGTACATCGTATACATCAAGGATACGCCCACTAAGAGTGTCCCTCTTGGTGGTTACTCAGTTCTGCCTTCTGCTTGAGTACTTCCAATGTGTCAAGCTTGATTTGATTCTTAATACATGAAGCCAGGCAGATACACCTTGGCTGTGAAAACTAGAACTAGTGTATTATCACTTTTATTGTCTTTGGAGTATTTTCTAAGTATAAAGGTAAAACTACACCCTCGCTTTGGAAAAATCTGAGGAATTCATATTGGTTTTTGGTTCAGAAAGTCTGGGAACTGTTACTTTGCAACAATCCTAAGCCTGGTAGTCTCTGAACCTTTCTGCCTTTGTTAGAACTTGGCAACATCTTGGGTATATGCTATGCTCCAACTATTTAGCCAACCTGAGCACACTTCTCATGTTCACTAACAAAACCTGTATATTTTCTTATAGTAAGAAAATTCCTATACATCTTAGTATTTAACCTAATTTACATCCTAAATTACTGTTATCGAGTTAGCAACTAATTTTCTGCATTTTCATCAGTGTTTGACTACAGTAAACCAGAGTTCTATAGTATCTCTCATCTGTGTCAAAGGCTAAACATACTAATAATGTAAGCAGATCACTTAAATCAATATATGTTTGTGATGTGTTCTCAGTAACTCATTGCTTCTTAAGCAGACTAAACACCTCAGCAGCAAAAACCTAGGCTACACTGTTCAGATTTGTAAAAACACCACTCTGTCCTTTCTAATGCACTGAGTAGTCACTGTCTGTGGACTTTAGAACCGCAGAATCATAGAATGGTTTGGTTGGAAGGGACCTTAAAGATCACCCAGTCCAACCCCCCTGCCATGGTCAGGGACACCTCCCACTAGACCAGGTTGCTCAAAGCCCCATCCAACCTGGTCTTGAACACTTGCAAGGAGTGGGCATCCACCACTTCCCTGGTCAACCCGTGCCAGTGTCTCACCATCCTCACAGTAAATAATTTCTTCCTAATATCTAGTCTAAATCTATCCTCTTCCAGTTTAAAATCATTCCCCCTCATTCTATTGCTACCTGCCCTTGTAAAAAGTCCCTCCTCAGCTATCCTGTAGGACTTCTTCAGGAACTGTATATATATGTGATAGGTAGCACTATACCTGCAGCAGGTGCAACCGCTGAGCCAGGGTATCATGGTAGTTAAATAAGAGAGGGTACTTGGGGATGCCAATCTTTTTTTCACTGAATTTAGGAGAAAAGTAGTCATATAGATTCTGTTAAAAAAGAAAGATGTATCAAACTTCAATAATCAGATTTATTTGTCATTTCAGGAAATGAACAAAAGACAATGCAAACCTTTTTTTCACTCTGGGAAAGTGAAAGAGATGGAAGGACAGAGGCTATATGCTCTGCAATGGTACGATGTAGCCCATCTTCCCGGGGCTCTGGCATCACCAGACTTGGTGGTTTAAGGTCTTCTTCACTAGCAATAACCTAGCAAACATGATACAGATTAACTTTCATTACAGTATGACTGCTGCTTAACTTCATTAAAACTACCAAGCAGATCCTGCTATAAACATACATCTCTAAATTCTGTCTGGAAAGAAAACCATAATTTTTTTTCTACAAGTAGTAAAAATGCAATTCTCCATGTTAGTTCCTGCCCAAAACAAAGACTATGAAAAACTGAATTAAATGTTTTCATCTGTTACTCACTTTTGGAAAGATGAGAAGAAAAAGATTTCCAACTTGAAATGTTAAGAGCTGTTAATGAACACAGACAATTAAAAACTGACTGTGTATCAGGTGTTGGACCTTATTTTGAGTATTTCTGCCTGACTCAATTTTCAGACTAAATTGCAAAAAGTAAAAAAAAAAAAAAAGATTGTGCTGAAATTTTATTTCTAAAAGAAGGATGATTTCCAATATCATTCTGTGCGTCTTTGCTAAATCATAGATTGTGCCTGAACTCAACAAAAGTCAGATCTGTCTAGCACTAGCATTGATATACACCACTTCTCAGTTAGACTTACCCTGAGTCTTTTATACTGAGTAGAAGAGTAGAAAATTCAGTATCAATAACATTGTTGCAGGACATGAAAACTCATTATTGACTTACCTAAGAAATTACACGTTTTTTTCCCATTTGATTATATTGGATCTATAGTCTTGGAAAAAACATGGAATAACACTGCATATACAGGGTAAGTGCATAACATGAAAGAAAACCAAAGTCATCACTTTCAGGTTGTGATTCTTTTGCATCAAACCTCCTAGGCCAGTGCCCCCATGCACAGGCTGAAGCATGGATTTATTGATCTTTGATCAATTCATTATACTAGGTTCAAGCCGAATTAGTCACAGGAATTATAAAGAGAATATTCCCACCTGTTCCAACATGCAGTTCAGCATTAAGGGTATAGAAAAGTATTCCTCAGGAATCTGACTCAGCAAGTCATTGTAATACCTCATGTCCACTGAAGGAGCCAAAATAGAAGCTTCTTCCTCTGTTGCTGTAAGAGATAAAGCATTAAGATTGATTTTTTCAGAAATCTCCATTTATATTGCCAAACAGTTCAACCTTTAGACAATTTTTCTTAAAAAATACTAACAAAGTCCATTACTGTGTAGCTCTTAAATCTGACTGTGACTAGGAACAAATAGAAAAAGTTACTTTCTAAAGAATTTCGTTACCACCGCTGCAGTTTTCAGAGACTTTCACAATGTATTCATCAAGAAACTACTCTCATAACATCAAATCACATCTTCAGCTTACTGTGCAAATAATTTCAAGGATTTGTGCTGTCAGATGAATGAATGGTGCAACAGAGTGAACAGCTACAGACCAGTGCTTTAATCCTGTAGACATACCCTGTGACAAAATTACTGTTGGCAGAGTTTCTTCTGCTTGCCTTTTTTTCTTTGAAGGTGTAACCTGTGATGCTGATGGTACCTAAAGAAAGAAAGATAAAAAACCCTCAGAAACGGCGGAACAAATGAGGATTGCACAAGTAGCTTTGAAATTAATTTCATTTAGCTTTGGTTACTTGCCCTAGACTAGATGCTAAACTTTTAAATGGCTAGTAGTAGGGGAGGCAAAGCCCACCTAACTGAATGGAACAAAATTTCTTCTGCCCACTTAAGCTTTTGTCTACCATGAAAAAAATAGAGAAACTGATCTTTGGTAGAAATAATAATCTCTTTTGGATAGCAGATCTGCAACAAGACGTAATAGTTCTGTGATAGGCATAGTGATTTTTCCAGACATGAGAAGTTGTAATGTGAAGCCATTTAAGTAACTTTACACCTGTGGTACTTTATGCCAGCATCTGTATGACCCTTCAAATTTTCCTTTTTTTGTTTCCCCAATGCTCTGCTATGTTTTTTCCATTGTTTAGGTTTTAAATGTTGAAGATAAAAATTTCAATTTCATTCACCAAAACTTACACAAAGAGTGATTGTTCAAGGTGAATTTTTGAGTGAAGAATTAAAGACAGGCAATCCTAGCCTATAACTAATTTTTCTCTACAAGAAGCATAGTATAGCACAAAGAATCCTTGCCTCAGCTACAGGTGGTTGTGTTGATTTGCTCTCTGAGAATGCAGACACATTAATAAACTTCGTGTTTTCCAAGTAGTTACAATGCTGTCTTCTCCAGTCCAGGCAGTCATACATTAAACAAGCGACGCTTTCAAACAGCACAGTGCCTAATGCAAGCTATAACAGAAAACCAGATGCAAAGGGTGAAGTCTGCATACAAAAGTGTCATGTAACATAGCCACAGGAGTCATTGGCTCTCTAACCAGCAGATCTAAAACTGACTAAAAATATTCCAGGGGATTTTTTTCTCCATTAATTCAAAATGTTTTATAGAGTTATTCTAAGAAAACAAGGCCTCCTTATCTTTATTTGCCTTAAACAGTGCTACACCACAGTATGGACTGAATACTGCCAACTGCTTTAGTTGTTATAAAGTCTAACTTTTCCTAACAGTAACCATTCAAGGTCTGCTCTCTTGTAACTTGAATTTATGCTGGTTTTTTGGATGGGAAGGAATGCGAGATGTAACTTAAAATAATTGTTTCATATCATATGTGCATGTTTCTACTGGTGATCAATCTGCAGCATATTCAGAAGGTCAACTATTCTCCTATCCTAGAAGGATAAAAAATAATTTAAAAACCCCAACCAACCAATGTCATCTCATATTTTTTTCTTTCTGTTGCCCTTTTAAAACAAAGAAAACCTCGAGTACTGAACTCTGAATTCCATAGTTGTGCAAGCAAAGGAGTGTCAGCACACCAGCCAAATGTCCAAAGGGAGAGTGCTGTATCTGCAAAAGTCTGACAAGGAAAGAGTCAAGGTTCTTGAGGTGGTGTACTGTGGTTTTCATTGAGGCTTGGGAGGAATAAAAAGAATAATACCAACCACTATTTTAAATGTGAAATGCTTTTGTACAAATACCAAAACCCTGAGACCACATGCCACACTCAAGTTTCAGTGGCTTTAATGGAAGCATTCTTCTCCTGTACATCATAGACATTGTGGAAAAGATTAAATTATTATAATTTTTAGACAATTTCTGCCAACAACTGCTTTCTGAGTGATTATTTCAGTTTTTTGAAAGGAGGAGAAGTCTCTTGTATTAAGAAATTTGCCTCTAAAGGGGTGGCTTTAAACATTGTATGTCTCAGTTTTAAGTTTCTTAAAATTAAACATAGTGAAGAAGCACAACTGTCATTAAGCACTAAATATATTAACTGACCCTTAAGTATTAAGCATCTGCTTTCTTCAACTTAGACCCTCTTTATGGCAATTCAAAACAAGCACCCTGAGTAACTGATGAGTTATGGAGTACTTGTCTCAGTAATCATAGCATTTAAAGACTAGAGGAGATATTTGGGAGAGCAGTTCTATTTGTGAAAGCAGAATTTCTGGTGTTAATATTCTTGCACGTTTGTTTTTCCAGTTCAATAATCTTCTGAAAAATGGGTTAGTATAAAAACTAAAAGAGATCACTAAAGCACATGCAAATTTCAGTTAAAGTGTTGGAGTGTTTTGAATGCACAATCTTTTAAACAAAACAAGAATTTTTACAAAGTTATGTGTAACACAACCTAGCTCTACTCATGCACATGCAAAGGTTAGCCAAATATATATGTAGCCACATATATGTACAGTTACAGTTTTGTGACTAAATTTACTTGGTCTCTCTCCTCAGGGGAGACACAGATGCTTGTATAAAGTTCTCTGAGTCTAACCATTAGTGACTCATCAACAAAGAAAAAGAAATTGGAAAATATTTTCCTTTCTAAGTGTGTGAAATCTGAAAGTGACGATTACTTGCTATAATACTCCGCCATTTTTCTATCAGTGTCTTACTTGTCACAAGAGTTTTCCTTCTGTGTATCTTGGATTTCAGAGATGCAGCAAGCTAGGACTCTGAGACTCTACAGGAATTCCACTAGGACAGATCTACTCTATCTACCTACAGTTGTGCAACTTATATTCTTCCCATATGTTTCTTAAAAACCTACTAATGTTCCCACTTCTTTAGAGGTGTGCTGAATTTCAAGATACAGAAGAATGTGAAATTACAACTACAATCTGCTGGAACAATTTCAGTGACCAATCACTTTTATTTTTAGCTATAATATAGCTGCTTGCAGGACATTCATAAGTAGCAACAGTCCCCCATAAGATGTGATTATGGGGAAGACAGACAAGATTAAAATCTTATTTCCCAAAACACGCTCCGTATTTTAAGATTAGATCAAGATTACAGTGATAAATAATGTTGTAAGTTGCAAGTGTGTACACTTGCGCATTTAAGGCATTTTTAGTGAATTCTTTGGACACCACTGTGGATTTAGTCAAACTCAGTTCTGATCCCTTCAGGATCAAGGGTACTTCCTAGCTCACCAGACTGTTTCTATACAGGATTCAATGTACTATAAAATAAGTGTTAGGAGGATGTAGTCTGTCCTTTAACCCTGATAATACAGACCGCAAATACAGTAGATTAAATTATAGCACATTGCTTTATTTTGCTTTAGCAGTTCCTATTTTTGACTGCTGTCATTGTGGACTGAAAAATACTGGACCCTTTTACCTCACTAGACTTGAGAAACAAGATCGAAAAAAATCCTAATGGTTCCCTTTCTCTTCTAGTGCCCACTAATAGCCCTGACTCAGAAGGCTATAATATATATAATAAGCCAGAGCCACATTTTACTTGGACAAAAAGAAGCGATACTGGGTATGCTAAAACAATATTTTCTATCAAAAATTATTCTTACATTCATTTATATTTGTTCTCATATGATGCTTCTGAGATACAGCAGGCAAGTAGACCTGCTGTTATGAGGACACAAATGTAATCTTTGTGTTATTTCATACTGACATCTGAGTCTCTAATGAGATCCAAACTGGGAAACTGCTGTGGCCTACAAAATCAAGAAACTCCACGTCAGGTATTTTTATTCGAAGGACAACTTATGAATACATGCTGAAAAATTTGTTGGCTAAATAGGAAATAATTTTTTTCAAGATTACAAATATACTATCTCATCTGGTTCTGTCTCACTGAAGACTGTACTGAAATTCCTGTCGTTTCTAAATTGTTCTTAAAGGTTACAAGCCCCAAAGCATGCCATGCATTGTGAAAGCAGACTCTACTGACCAGCATTTCTCCATCAGACCAATCAGAGGGAAAGGCACTCTCCTTAACAAGGTGATGAAGTCTGGCAACATCGAAGAGACATGATCCATGCTTTCCACTGTTCAGAACTGGCTCCAGGTATTTCCAAAATGTTTCCAGGTCTTTGATAGCTTCATCTTTCTTTCTTTTCTCTGTTTCTATAGCTAAAATTTATAACTATTAGATAAATCATGGTATAGTCTCTCCCTTTTACAGAAAGCACAAATCATATTAGAGTTAGTTATCACATTATTTAGTTTAGTTTAAAGAAGAGGAGGATGAGGGGAGACCTAATTGCTCTCTACAACTACCTGAAAGAAGGTTGCAGAGAGGTGGGTGCTGGTCTCTTCTTTGATGTAACTAGTGACAGGACAAGAGGAAACGGCTTCAAGTTGCACCAGTGGAGGTTTATATTGGATATTAGGAAAAATTTCTTTACTGAAAGAGTAGTCACGCAGTGGAACAGGCTCCCCAGGGAGGTGGTGGAGTCACCATCCCTGGAGGTGTTCAAGAAGCGTGTGGATATGGCACTTCAGGACATGATTTATTGGTCATGGTGGTGTTAGGTTGACGGTTGGACTTGAGGTTCTTAAAGTTCTCTTCCAAACTTAATGATTCTATGATTCTATATATTAGACTTCCTTGAGTATTGCTAAGATTTTCCCATCCTCAGAGTCTCAGCAAAAATCTGACACTCAACTTAGGGATTAAAAACCTCCAAGAAGATAATGCTTCAGAGAAACATAGTTCATTGAAAGAGTGGTCAAGCATTGGAACAGACTTTCCAGGGAAGTGGTGGCATCACCACCCCTGGAGGTGTTGATTAAGGTATCCTTTCAATAAAAAAACGTGTAGACGTGGCACTTCAGGATGTGGTTTAGAGGACATGGTTGTGTTAGGTTGACAGTTGGACTTGAACTGGCAGTGATTCATGTTTGGGGTGGGGCTTTTGGTACTTCTTGCTGGTTAATCTGGTTTCACTACAAATATGATTGCAGTTTGTTCCAGTGTTTTTCCAGACACAGAAATTAAGCAGATTACAGTGCCTTGGTTATTTGTGTTTCTTTCCCTCTTCATCACAGCTCATTTTCCACTATCTCACCTGCTCTTTATGAGTTCTCAAATATAAATGAGAATGGCAGGCAGGTCTTTAAACAGGATACAATTTAAATGAACCTGAATCAGCTAATCTGAAAAGTTCTCTACCTTACCTACATAGTACTCAGATATTTTGCCTATTCCTCCACAATTTGAATCTGAATCTTTCTGCTATCAGCACTAATTGGGGCTGCAATGGCATTTGTAGTGAAAACAGATTAACCCTCACACAACACACATGCCAGCAAGAAGTACCAAAAGCCCCATCCCAAACATGAAACACTGCCAGTCTTCTCAAGATCACCTCCTGGCAGTTCTTCCTCTCTGTTGAGCAGCAGACAAACCTTTTCCTTGGTCCTCCTCCTGTATCCCATTTTGTATCTTGGCATTTCTGATTTTGTGTGAATAGGTTCATAATAAACATATATTCTTATTCCAAGTGATCTGACCTATTTCTAATTCTTAAATGCTTCCTTGCATCTGAGGTCTACAAAGAATGCATGGTTTAACCAAGCTGTTTTCTTAGTGTGCAAGCTATCCTTTCTTAATAATGGATAAAACTTGCATTACTACATATAATACTACTTACACAAGATACTATCATCTATATTTACATTTTCTCCCCTTTAAAAGTTTCCTGACTAATTTTACTTACTAACTATCTAAGTTTACTAAAGTCATCCTGCTATTATAAATACAAGACAAAGAAAAGATAACTTTGGAAATATCTGGGGAAATTTGATCTTGCTCACTCACCCCCAGCAAGTGTTGTAAATAAAATGAAAATAAACAAACCCATGCTCTCTGCACTTCCAACTAATTTCTAGTAAGACATTACCTTTAAATTTGACAAGTTCTAACAAAATTATAAGAAGCTGGAAATTATGTTTTCCTTTCATTCTTATACCAGAGGTAAGATGGCTCAACAAATAAATTCAAACACGACGTTACTTCAAGTCCATCAGTGGGTTTTGTGATTGCCTAAGTCTTAAAGGCTATATCTGTGTGATTCATCACCTTGACACCTTTGGGGACCAATTCCGCAGTGCCCACACAATCTAACCTGTAGCATTTGCCATGAGGTAATATGTGTATCCCATTTTGTCAACACGAATGGGAAGGAAGGAATAGCACACTGAGATAGTTCAGCCTCCACAGCACTCATAGGGAAATGGTTTGTATGCATCAGTGGTCAGAATGGCAGTGAGTGACACCATCCCATCTCATGTCCTTCACCACCCCAGTATAAACAACCCTCATAATCCCCTCTCCTCCCCAACACACCCAGGACACCATTTCTTTCATTTACTGTGTTGCTCGTTCCATCTCAACAGTGTCAGAATCCACCACAAGGGATTTCTCTACATCACAGAGAACATTACAGAAAATCAATATGCACAAAAAACACACGTATGAACAATTATGGCTACCAACTCAGTTTTCTCACCTATGCTTATTTTTCACCAGACTTTAACTTAGATTTAAAATAATTCAGGCTGGAAGGAACCTCAATCTCCTACTCAAAGCATAGTCAACATGAAAGTCAGAAAACAGGCTCAAGGCTTTATTTAGCTCAGTTTTGAAAATCTCCAGACAGAGATCACACAACCTCTACAGGCAATCTGCTGCAATGCTTGACTCTCTTTGCAGTAATTCCCCCCAGCCTTAGATCTTGCTAGAATCTTCTATTTCAATTACAGAATCACAGAATGCTTGATGTTGGAAGGGAGCTCTGGAGGGCATCTGGTAAAACTCCACTGCTCTCATACTGATGAGACCCCTCTGTGCTTTCTCTTTTCCAGGGTAAACATTCCCAGCTCTCTTGGCCTCTCCTTACATGAGAGATGCAACAGTCCCTTAAACATCTTTGTGGTTGTTTGATGGACCCTATCCTGTAGCTTCATATCTCTCCTGTACTGGGGAGCTCAGAACTGGACACAGGATTCCAGGTATGGCCTCACCAGTGCTGAGTAAAAAGGATCAACTTCCTTGACCTGACGCCGCTCATGACACATTGTCTGCTACAAAGGCACATTGTTGGCTCATGTTCAACTTGGTATCCACCACAGACCCATCTCCTCAGGGTCTTTTTTGCTAAGTTGCTTTCTAGCTGGTCAGCCTCCACCATGAACTGGTGCATAGGGTTACTCCCTGCAAGACTTTGTCTTTGCCCTTGCTGAATTTTATGAGGTTTCTGCCAGCCCATTTCTCCAGCCTGCCAAGGTCCACCTGAACCAGGATCCCAGGTCAAGAGAGGTGTAACAGCCTGCAGACAGGTGAGCACAATTGCAGGGTGGTTTTCTGTGGTATATCTTTCTCTGGCTGGGGCCACAGTCCCAGAATAGCCAGCTGTGTCCTTCCCTTGAAATTACCAAATGAGCTAAGTTTGCTTAGCAACATATCTTCCTGGCTAACAATTCATAGAAGTATGCATTTGATAAAATGTTCTTTAGTGGCTACTGCAGAAAACTACACCTGCAACCACTCTCTGCTTTCCCCTGTCCAGCTAAGGCAAGTTTTTGCACTGGCAAACCATTTGGTTTGGTGACTAAATCAATGGCTATACCATTTCGGCACTGGCAAACAGAGATGCTCACAGGTAGTATGCACATACACAGGGCACAGAGAGGGAGAAAAACACAGTAGGAACAGTCTCTACTTGGACATAAAATAGTCTCCTTTCTAAACAAAATTTGCTCTTATGAGCAGATTACCTTCAGGTGAACATAATGATTGTTCCTGAAGTTTAGCTTCTTCCAAGTATGTCTGCAAGGGCTTATAATTCTCAGAAGAAATTCTAATTACACTTGAAATGTTAACTCCAAGCTCAGACATCACAGGCAACAGCTGAAGGTTGTGGAAATCCGAAATTATAAAGTAATGATGGGCACCATCATCTGGTTCATCATCTGTTCAAAATACAACAAAAACAGATTAGAGCAAGGACATTCAACAGCTAAACAAAATTTTTATTTTTTTCTTTACTACATAGAGATACTGCAAATTAAGGTCAGAGAAACAGTTATTTTATAACCTCAATGGGATAATTACATATAAGATTAAAAATATTACATGCATTAAACTGAAGTCTTTTGTAGCAAACCACCTAGAACTCAGCAGAAAGAATACAATGTAAAAGTAAAACTTTTTTTGAAAAGCACCAGGAGGAAAACTGGAGAAGCTGATTATAACCAAAATGCTAGCTGTAACAGCATTTCTGTAATTGTTTCTTCTTAAGAAGGTGCAGTGTGAGTGACAATGCGCAAAATACCTCAACAGCTTCTCCTTTGAGGCAATCTGCAACTATATGCTATTTTGTTTAATAGCAAATCTAGCAAATAGCAAATTTAATAGCAAATTAATTCTGTTTTTTTTTGTGCCGGGTTTTTTTTTGTTTATTTTTGCTACTTTTTTATTAATCCTTGGGACTATTGAGACAAATTCCAGTCAAAAAAAAAAATCATAGTTTAACAGCAATGCTAGTAGTTCATAATATAAAGCTACTAAGCATACTAAACAAGGATACTTTTTAGAGCTGTTAGTTTGTGTAGGCAATTTGTACTTTCCTTACTTAGTCTTCTCATTAGCTGTGACGAACAGGGCAGCAAAGCACGGATATCTTACACAGGTACCTGATGTTTTCCACCCATCTCTCAAGGCCATAGGGAGCAAAAATGTAGATGCTGGTAAAATTGTTTCTATGGGGCCTAATGGAAGCACAGCAACACTCAACCAAAGCCACTCTGTACTGTACATTCTGTACAAATGTTAGTAAGATGACATGAGTTCTCTACGTCACTTCAGCTTGGATTCTTAAAGGCATGAATGTTTCTTTGAAAACTTCTTTCAGGTCATGAAAAAACTTAAAATTATCAAAAGAATTATGTACTAGCCAATCCTTATCTGAAAAAATGAGGAGCTATACACAGAGACCTACTGTTCTGTTCTTGTGTACTTCTGTCAGATTCATTAAGATTCAAGATTTGCTATAAACACCTTTTTAGATGCTTGAAGAGTGCCATTGATTTTGAATGATATACAAACAAAGGTCTAATGAAAGAGTGAGGAAACTACGGAACAGCAGTTACACATAATGCATCAAAAAATCAGCAAGTGCTTCTTCAGCAGGAGACATCCTGTTTATGTTGATGCAGCTCACGCATATTACAGTCCAAATTAAATATGTCTGTGATCTAATGAAGAGAGCTATGTACACTCTCCAATATTTCTTGTTCCAGTGAAATTTGTAACCATGGGTACTATGTCTTAAGACTAAAGATTTTTTTCAGCACTAGTTAGCATCTTATTCCTTACTCTGTATAGCTCATTTCTGGAGTAGACTTCTTTAGGTCTCAGTTCTATCTGCAATTTTTTACAGGAAATGAAACTATACTGCCCTTTGTACAGAACCTGGCTTCATCCCCAGACAATGGCCGACAGCTCTGTTATGCTTTATAATACAAGAAGAATGCCACCTTTGGATACTGACACAAATCTTTCTGTAAGAAAGGTTTTCTGTAGGATTTGTTTAGCCACATATACCTCATCTATATTTTACTTCAACTGTACAATCTGTCCTAACACTGAGCAGAACACAGTGCCCTCTTCATATGACAGTGGCAATGCTTTCATATTGCCAAATAAATCTTGATTTTTCAGCATGAAACAAAACAATATACTTGGTTAGAAGCTAGATTGCAAGATTTCTAGCAAATTTAGCAGGAGTATATATCTACATTTTTACATACCAATGTATTTGTCTTGCTCTTCCACATCTCCCCGTCGCTTCAATTTGGTGTCCTTTTTAAAAGAGACACATGCTAGAGAGCCTGCTTCTGTCTTTTTTCTTTTCTTTTCTTTCTCAGCTGTCTTAGCACTACGGCGGTCCTCCTTCTTGCCAGGAGTTTTACCTTTCTCCTTCCCTCCATCTTTTTCCTTTTGTTGCTCTTCTTCTGCCTGACAAGATGAATAAACTAAGTTCTCATTGCAGAACAAAGGGCAGACTGCTGCAACATTTTAGTCGTTTAATTTCTTTATTTTATACTTTTACCTCTCAGCCACTATAATGTTGATGTGGTGAAGTTGTCTTGAACACTCTGCTTTATCCCTCTCAAACATTCAGTTTAGTATATTCTTACTAAGTCATAGCGTTAAGACTTCACATTAAAAAGGAACTGTGAGAGGTATGTAGACATTATACCTACAAAACTAACTAAATGCATATTGGTAAAAAGATGAGGAAAGAATCACTGTGCTTTAGTTACTGCCACTACAGCACTTGCATCAGCCAGAAACATTTCCTAGACTGATGGGTAATAAGACATAAAATTCAATTTCTTCTAAGTCTTTAGCATCTCCATTAACATTCTTGAGTATGGTGTAAAATGGTACTAGCACTAATTTTCTTTGATGTAAATATCTATCTGCTGCAAACTAGAACCAAGAGTCTTGTGCTCATTTCACACAGGATATTACTCATTCTCATTATTTTCAAACAAAAACACCTACATTAAGTTCTGCTCAATAATTTAAGAGTAACGAATGAAAAAAGATTTTGTAAGTATTTCAAAGCCTCACTCTATAAATCCAGAAAGCTCAGAACCAGTGTAAAATTAAAATAATCCAAAATATATTAAGGTAAAGTGAGGTGCTGTAAGAGGAAGAAAACCTCCACCTTACTTCTACCCAGCAGCAGGACTATGCACTAATGGAAGAATGATATTTAAGGATTGTAAAGCTAAATTGAATACAATAAAATGATATTAGCTTAACTTACTGTTACCATCCTGCTGGTGTCACTTTAAAGGCTATTAAATCAATGAGAAAAGTACTTTATGCTGTTGCTTTCCCTAGATTCACCTAGAAAAACAAGTCTTTCAGCTGTAAAGTTGTGTTTAGGTCAAATTCAAAACCAAAGCAGAAAATCTTTCTCTGCTTTCCTTTCTTCATGCATTCCCTTTCTGTAAAATTTAGAAATGCCTTCAAGAGATTCTTAAAACTAGTTGTGCTGTGAAATAAGGGATTAGGATGCTTTGAATATTTGCTTTCAAATTTATTCCACTTTCGATATTTTAAACCAAAGATATTGATAGTAATACTTTGATTCAAAGCTGATGAACACATCAAAACAGATGATACAATCATCAGGCTACAAAGTTCACAATTAGCTTTATCTATTACATCTGCATCATTTTATGTAATTAAGTCTCAAATTAGCAAAGACATTTCTGAACTTGCCAAGATTCCAACAAAGAACACCAGTTGACCTTAATATCTCAGGAAATAAAAGCCTCTCCTTTCTAGGACTCTTTCCTTTTCCCCTGAATGTCACAATTCTCTTTCCGTACAAGGTGCAGGTTTTTTTGTGGAGTTTCTCATCTTCCATTAGTTTTACATTCTGTAATCTTATTATTGAATCTTCATATTACAGAATCTTACTACCTCAAACAGTTTTCTAATTCAGAGCCACTTCTCTTCTGCATATTAGTTTAAATGCATACACCGTACACTTTGTCCAGACTGCTTGGCTAAACTAGAGAAAATGTAAGTTCCAGAGAGTCTTCAGCCTTCAATACCAACTTATCCTCAGATTCTCCAAGGAAATAAAATAGTATTTACAAGAGTAATCTTGACAAATCAAAGCTAAAGGCTCCATTTTAATATTGAAGTGCCTAATCTTTAAACTTCAAATTTTTGTTTTACAGTTTAATTATCAGCACTGATTGGTATCTAACAGAAAAGTAATTTTTTTCCTCCATTCATTTAAAAAAACACTGCTTTATAGCTTCAGTCTCTCACTTTCTCTTCAGATTGAAAATGTGTTAGTTTTTTTTTCTTCTCAGATTCTTTAGATATTTCTGTAGCTTATATTATCATTTGCTAATCAGTTTTGCAATTTACTTCTATGGGAAGAGGACACAACTTTAATTTATCATCTAGCAATTAATGTTCTTGTGCTTGTGCACTATTCTGCATCCACCAATTATTCCTACAAACAGAATTACTGATACAGAAATTTACAGACTTTTCAACTACACAAAATTCATGAAACCATTTTCTTCTTGCATCTTTTACATGCAAAGACTTAGGTCTCCATGTCATCACATTTTACATTATAGTTTTTTAATCTATTAACAGGATAAACTATTGCAGGAATTATATGACTTTCTGATAATGGTCTTCAGCTGCATGAATGCTTGCTGAAAAAGGACTATAGCAAAGACCAACTGTTCAGAAAGTTGTTGAAATGTGACACTACACTTTTTTTCTTTAATTATAGGTGTTAAAAAGCAATTAGAGGTCTAATCTGACCGTGATTCTCTGCAAGCTTGGTGAAATTCCTCCTAGAACACATAAGTAATCTGACTGAGGCAATCTTGGAGCTAGTAATGATGATATTGTATGTGGAATATGTGGAAGCGAGTTTTGGGAACACTGGAAAATCTGGTACCAAGTTTTGAGAAACAGACTTCAAGACACGAACTATTTGGAGAGAGTTTGAAGGAGAGGAACGAACATAATAAAAAATTACAAACCCTGAGACATATTTGGGTTTGTTTAGTTAAATATGTAATAGATTTATGCAGAATGTAGAGTAAGAACTGTTGTCCCCATACACAGTGAGAAGCAAAGCAGTAATGGGTTTAAATTAGAGCAGGGTTGATAAGGTTAGGAACCTTTTCCAAATGGCTATGTTGCAGAAAGAGTTGAGCAGTAATATTGGTTGCTGTAAAAAAAGTGAAAGCACAGCAGTTAAAGGCTTTAAGAACAGGTTCAACATCTGCAAGGAATAGTTCATGTATATTTTATCCTGCCTTAGTGCCAGTGGATGGAATAGACAACTTCAGATTTCCTCCAGAGAGAGGCAATTCACAATAATAACTTCTTCATAGTGCTCCTCTGCATCTATCCTCAACAGCTCTCAAGTAATAACCTCTCCTAACTTTACTTCAGCAGAGAGATATTCAGCCAAAGCCAGTTTCTAGCTCTATTTTCTATTGGTTCTAAGACTTAGCTAAGATATTACTACTTACTACTCTAGCAAAGAGTTCTTGTACAATATTTTTTTCTTTTCTTTTTCTTCTTCTTTGGTTTACCTGCATTTGAGTAATTGAGAGCTTCTCTAAAATTTAATTAACTTAAAAAGATAAAGTTCTATGCACATTCTCTTCAATTACAGCTCTAGGAAGTTAAGTATGAGGAGAAAGCTGAATTTACGCAAACAGCACTAGAATGGAAGTGTCTTCACAAAATTAACTAAGTATTCTCCCTAAGGCATACTATTGTACCTTCTTTTCAGCTTCTCTTCTCTGAAGATCCTTCTGTTTGAGACAAAGCAGTTGAAATTTCAACAGCTTTCCAGTTAGTGTTACAGGAATTTCTTCACCACTGTCCATAATGGTTTTGGCTGCTTCTACCACCTGCAGAGAAAAAATCCCCGCAAAGCCCAAAAATAACTATTACGAATATAATTTTAATATTGCATTTGACTTATATTTTGCATGCTGAAATGAGGAAGTGCTATCTCGCATTGTACAATGAGTGGGTCTAAATGGGCATACTTTCAGAAAAACAACTTATCAGTAAAATACATAGCCATTCTTTGGTTCCTAAGATCTCAAATGAAGTTATATCTGCTATGGATGAGATAAAACTGGAATGGAGAAAACTGTGATTTATGTAAGGGTCAACAGACACACAGTTCTCAGTAAAATGTCATTTTTTCATGTTTTAAACAAAGCAACATTAAGCAACTACTGTTACAAAGTAATAAATTAAAAAGCATTTAACAGATAGCAAATCAAGGGGAATAGTTTGGAGTACTGTTTACAAAGTGACTAGTGTCTGAGGCAGTAGCTATGAATGAAAGATAAAAACTTCTTGAAGGGAATTTGAGAGGGTCTGTCTTCTTGAAAATACACCCCCTCCCTGCGTAATTCTGATTCTGTTGGTATGCAGCCTAATTGGGGTGAAATAAGGCTATTGAGTTTTCTTAGGGTGATGACAGCAGCGGGAACATACAGCTGCATTGTCCAGATGTGTGGCATTGACAGGCTGTTTTATGACTATGTTTTTTACAGCTTGTTTCCACTAAATTTCATACAACTCACTAACATCTGGGCCGTTTTCCTTGGAGCCTCATAACCACTTTATTTACTGCGAAAAAAATAAAATAACATAAAAATACCATAAAAAGTTGTTATATGTTTCTTTTCACTTGTGTTGTCTCTGTAATAAAGTTCACCTATGTAGGAAGCGCTGTTGAGGAATAATATAACCATAATATTTTCCTACTTTTGTTTTTAAGCAACCATCCACCTTATTTATAACCATGGGCTGAATTAGGTGTTAGTCAAATGTTCTGACATGTTTCTCTTTTCCTTTCTTGGAGCAATTACAGTTGGGCACATATGGTGTCAATTTTGCTTGCCAACATTCAGACAATGAAGGTGCACACTGCATCTCACTGAACTGTGTCTTGTCTAACACAAGCACCACCATTAGCTTTGAGCTTTCATAGTTTCTTGCCCAGCTTAGAAATTTTCACTTCTCAAGTAAAACTTAGGTAAGCAAATGTAGCCACTAAAAAATTATTATCTGAATAAAACAAAGCCAAAATGGAATCCAGACTATTATACACCAAATTATTGTTTCATACAAATGAAAGAAAAATACAGAAAAAGAAATTTCTTTAAAATTATAATTTTCTGAATCATTTAACAAGGAGACAAAACAACCAAAATATTTGCATCTATAAAACCTCCCAAAATAATCCTGCCCCTCCAACACTAATAAACTTGATGATCTCCTTAACATACACATAGGAAAATACATCATGGTTAAGGTCAGCTCTGCTTTACATCTTTCATAAGTAAGACTACTTACTGGTTGCTATCTCAACAAGCCAACCACAGAAGGCTTACTGGAAAGACTCTCACTGACTTAAGTCCCAGCAGAAATCAAAGATATGTTAAGAACAGACTTAAAAACTCCCACAGACTGTAGGCATACTAGAAACTACTATGTATTCCAATAAAAAATAGTCAACCAGAGCTAGCTACAGAAAATCTGTTCTCTAAAAGAATTGCCTAATCTAGATGAGTTGCACATTTCTTGAAACACAAGAGAGGGGAAGCAGAGGGATTCTGGAAGGATTCCTGAAAAAGTATATATATAGTAACCCAGCTCAGTGGCAGTTGCTGATTTATTGTTCATGGAAGAAAGAAGGAACGCATAGGCTCTTTTACAACCTATTCTTCCTGAGAGGTTCAAAGCATTTTACCAGTCAAAAGCAATGCATCATGATTATTCCTATTTTGTAGACAGAGAATGCAAAAATGAAGAGTCTTGTCCAAAGCCTATAATGAGCTTAACAACTCTGAGTAAGTGGGAGGGACAAATTTTATTACATGAGGTGTTAGAGAAGTACAAACCAAACTCTATTTAAGAGAAGTACATTCCATGCCTGTGGAGGGAGGTCAGACAAATAAGACAAAGATAAAATGAGCACACTACATTTGGCAATACAAAGAAAGCAAATAGCTTTCCATACAGCAATGTAAAATCCGCTTTATGCATGAGCAAAGAAAAAAACAATCCCTCATCACTGCTAGTTTAAAGACAGAACATACATCAGTGGTAGATAAAAGAAGTTTATCAGTACAGTAGATAAAAGAAATTAAATTTATAACATTTATGCATTATGCAGACACCTGGCATAAACAGTTAAGAATCCACAAAGCCTTAATTTAAAAAAATAAAAATCTGAAGACAAAGACTTGGTAGGAGTACAGAAGGAATTTTTTGGGATACTATGATGTGGATTCGTTTCAGATTGGCTATACTTCATCCTGCCAGTGATGACCTTTTTCTTATGTGAGAAACCATGGAAACTTGGATGGACAAACTGAGTTAGCTAGGGCCTCTTTTCCTTTAAAGGAAGAAGAAACTTAGCATTCCTTACACAGCAGGGGTCACATTTGTGAAGTGCAGAAAGGCTTCAGCGATGTGGTATTTGATCTCATATGGTGGCAGTATGAACCATGCAGAGACTTAGCTGCCTGGTGCAAAGGGCATGTATTTCAAGCCGTTCAAACACTGCATGAGTGCTTGTGGGTGACACACTGCTATTGGCAGATGCCAGCACCATTGAGATAGGAGATGGGTCTTAAAAGTTAGGGAAACATTTAAAGCCAGTGTCTTTATGGTAACTTTTCAATATATAGAACCATTGTGGCTGCTGAATCATAATCAGAAAAGCTTTCAAAGTCATAAATTGCATTATCAAATTTCACAGCTTTATCACTACTTGGAATCAGTAGCATCACTTGGTACGAAGAGTGATCAGCCCATTTCATAGTGTAGTTCTCCCATATCCACAGTGAGCTTTCTAAAGCACTGTATTCTCTCTTGTTCTTGAAACTGTACAAAATCCAGGCCATCACATATACCTCAGACTCACATAATACTTCCTAAAAGAAACATAATGGTTTGTCAAAGAACTCCTCAGTAATTCAAATCCCGTAGTAGCTGACACAGTTCAAGTCAATTTGAAGCAGGAGAGCCATCAGTCAAAAGACTATATGGATTACATGTACCAACCAATTTATTATTTACTGTTCAAATGTATTTTCCCCAGCAAGCTAAAGGGGG